TAGATAGATAGATAGATTATTGAAAAGAAAAGCATAATTACCACAAATTACCAAGGACTAGAAGGTCTAGAGTACTAAGAAACCACTTCAGCCTGGAACGCAGACTCTCAATAGTGATGTTATGACACAAGCTCATTCGCGTATTTTACATTTCTTTGTCCTGTTGAATATGATTTCCTAGCACATAGTAAAAAAACGTGTACTAGGAGCAGAAAGTGGAACCTTCTCTGCAAAGCTGACATCGAGTTTTCCCCTCTCCAGTGAGAAACTGGCTGGGAGTTCTCTTCTGCCTCTGCTGTCACTGTGGCTGGTGGGGGCGGAGTTGGGCCCTGACACTAGAGGTACTTTGAGGCTCCCATCTAGGGGGACCAGGTCATCCATACCATTCTACCTCTTCTAGTAGCACATTCTCTTCTAGGCTCAGAGGGTGAAAGACAGTCTTCCCCTCGCCTGGACCCAGTCATATGGACCAAGCCAGCACAGGCAGAGGTTGAAGGCAGTTTGGCAGGCTACCACTCTGGACTGGTTTTTAAAAATAGACTCTAGGGGCTGGAGAGATGGTTCAGTGGCTAAGAGAACTGGCTGCTCTTGCAAAGGACCTGTATAAAATTACCAGAACCCACATGGTGGCTAATAACCATCTGTAACTCCAGTCCCAGGGACTCCAATGCCCTCTTCTGGCCTCTTTGGGCATTGTACAACACAGGTGCACTTGCATTCAAAGACATAAAATAAAAATAAAAAAGCAAAAAAATTTTTAAATGGACTCTAAAAATAGTTGCAATGGATGAGATTATTTTGAACTCATTTAGAAACCCATTTTCATTTTTACTGACACAAATCCATAGATTGAAATGTTTACTATTTCAGTCCACTCACTGATGCATACCTTTTAAAATAAGTGAACATGGAGCCCAGAGTTCAGCAGTCAGTGTTTCTCAGGCATTTCAGATGAAGGTTCTGAAATGTTTGATTTGCTATAGAAATATGCAGCCCTTTCAGTCAGTTCCTCTACATGACATCATAGACCTTCTCCTGACCTTAAAGATGAGTTAAAGTTTTAAGCCTAGCATGGTAGTATTGTGATTTTTACATCCACTGCATTCTCAGCTCTACTCTGCAACTAAGGACTTTCTGTTTATTCTCAATATAATCTCCCCGGCTCCAAGAAGCATTTTAAGGCTGAAGTACAAAGGCACAGTGGGATTTATAACTTTTCTGAGATTACTTAGCTAACAAGACCGCTAAATAGAAATGGTATTTTTGATATGTGATTTGGAATTGTTCAAGTCCACTACATACAGACTCCAGAATTCACCTTTGAGCTAACACAAGTAGGTTAATGAACTCACTGGAGCAAGAAAAGAAATGAACTCCCATGATACCACAGGGAAGAGGAGTGAAGGCTGTGGCATAGATTTGGGCTTCAGTTCATTGATTCTAATAAGAATTTAGCAACATACAGACCAGTTTTCTTTTGTATGTTAGGAAGTGGAATCAATTTAGTGTCTTGGTCAGGAAGGCAGGAAGACTGAGTGGGAACTCCACAATAATTCCTGCTCCTACACAAGACATTTATTGTGTTAGGTGGCAAAACATTCAGTTAGGTTGTGATGCAGATGTTCCCCATCTCTGTTTCTATTCAAACTCAATGAAAGATTATTTTTTCTTGTTCTCCCTGGGACAGATATTGGCTTTGTCTGAGAACTGCTTGAATTCTGTAAATGTTATGTTGGGCTACAAACACTCAAACATTATGCCCTGTTAATAGTCTCTCTCTCTCTCTCTCCTCCCTCTCCTTTCCCCCTCCTTTCTATTGTTTATCTCCTCCCTCCTCTCTCCCTCCAGCTATTTCATAGCAACTAGCTGATTCCTTCCCTGAAAAATAAGAAAGCAGCCATTAGACCCCATTATCCCCTGGATAAATTAGCATTGGGAAGGTTTTCAGGTACATGAGATCATTTCATCTTTTGGGCCTGACTTTCTTCATATTTAAAAGTAGGATGTTTGGGTGTTTGGAAAATTAAAAATAATTTATATAAAGTACTTGAAACATATGTGATCACAAATAGTGATTCTTATTAAACATTCATCAAATGCTAATTTGATTATGTTTCATAATTTCTAACAACAATGAAAATAGTTTTTATTTAACCATCTGTTTGGTAGTAGAAGATCATAGAAGGTGGAAAAAGCCAGACCTGTTGAGTGTGATTGCCTATGACTGGATATTTGTTTTACAATAAAACTTACTGTTACCTTTTTTAATATTTAAAATAGTGTGAAATAGATAACACTGTGTTATGCATTTAACGAAAAACACAAGATCATTTTAGGGCTCTTAGTGGCTCATTACTTGATTCAGTTTCATGGAGTGGCTGCCTGATTAGGACTATAAAGAAATAAAGAACATTCGGAGAGATTCTTTTCTCTGTATATGTAGCAAAATGACATCAGAAATATTCCTGTGAATATTTACTTTGTATACAAGGCTGAGATTAGTATTAAAATGTCAGAAATACATATGTATATATTAAAATTAGCCCTGAACTGCGGAATGGTTTGCACTTCCATCTTTATATTTTCTGATATTTTCCAGACCTTGTGCAGAAATAGACATCCATGATAGAACAAAAAAAGCATTTAGTCTTCTAAAAGAAAAATCCTACCTGGAGCTGGATTTGGTGGTGCATGCCTTTAATTCCAGCACTTAGGAGGCAGGAGGATTGCCAAGTTTGAAGCCAGCCTAGTCCACATACCAAATTCCAGGCCAACCAGGGCAGCATAGTGAGACCTTGTCTCCAAACACAACAGTGACAAATAATAATAATAACTTAAAAATTCCTGTCTAGTTTTCTGAAATTGCTAGGCTTCTCAGCCATGGTTACCAAGATCTTGACACCATGTGTGCATGAGTTGCACACGTAACTCAAAAAACATCCTTAGGCATATGGTAGACATTACATGATGTTTGAGATTCAAGGGCAGAATTACCCAAAGGTATAAACTGCAAAAACTGGCATGATCCATCACGGATGACTGGGATGTTGTTGATATACTGTCTAGTCTTTTTATTGTGTCTGTATTTGTTTTATGTGAGCATTAATAACTATTATTAGAGAAACACAATTGAATACCATTCTGGTAATGAAAATATGTATTAAAATGACTCACTTTTTTTATTGTTCAGTCATTTATTTATATTGCCATGGACTCATGGATATTTATTTTTTAAATAATTTAAAATATTTTATTTATTTTTTTTATTTTGTGTGTATGTATGTATTGCCTACATGTGTGTAACTGCACCTGAGTCATGCAATGCCCGAGGAGGCTGGCCTGGGAACTTAGTAGGCCAGGCTGGCCTTGATCGCAAAGAAATCCACCCCTCTGCCTCCCAAGGGCTGGGATTAAAGGCATGTGCCACCATGCCCAGCCAAAATATTTTATTTATTTTAATAACTTGGGCTGGAGAGATGGCTCAGAGGTCAAGAGCACTGGCTACTCCTACAGAGGACCCAGGTTCGGTTCCCAACCCCCCCATGGTTGGCAAAAAACCACCTGTAACGCCAGTTCCAGGGGATCCATGCCCTCTTCTGGCCTT